CCGGGATCATACCGTAAAAACCACAAAATACCGGCCAATTAAAAAAAATAAAAAAATTAAAATTTTTGAATTTAAAAAAATAAAATTAAATTGGTAGTTAAAATGTTCATTTTTATTTCATTGAGAAGTTGAAATTAATTATTATCGTCATTTATTTTTTTTAATTTCTTGCATTTGATATTATATATATTTATGTATACTTATATTTATCATTATATTTGTTAATTTGGTAATATCATCGATATTACCGATCTGACCGGTAATACCGCATTCCGGTAGCTATACCCGTATGACCACGGGTGCGGTATTTAAAACACTGATATTTTTATCCCAATTTTTTAATGACCAAATTGTCCAAATTCTTCCCAGTATTTGACCATTATACCCTTACATGTCCCAAATACTACAGAGTTAGAAAATATATAAGACAATTTCTCCCATAAGCTGAGTTAATCGTCCCAGCCCTAGGTCTCTCGTCTTCTCCTCCTCGCGACTGGTAAACTTTGATTTTTTTTTTTTTTTTTCATTTTTTTTTCTGTCGTTCTCTTGTTCGAATATTAACACCGGTTCACTACCCTATTGTTCAGATCGTTTCGACTTGTTTTGTGCCCTAATTTTCCTCCTCCATTTGGGACTGCGTAAGTCTGGTTCTTCTTCCTGTTTTATTTTTTTTATTTTTTATTTTTTTTAAATTGTTTTCAGTTGTGCACTGTGCAGGCCGTTGGTTGTTGGTAGTTGTGGAATTCAGTAAAGCTCTTAGTTGAGGCCATGAATACTGCTCCTGAAAATGATCGAATTAGGAGGTAAGTATGATTCAGTTATTCTGTAAATATTTTATATATTATGCTATTTTTTATTTTTTTTTCCTTGAAAAGAATTTACCTTTATTTATATAAATGGCATGTAAGAACTTGTTTTTATTTATAAATGGCATGGTACAGAGAATCTCCACAGCTGGCTGCTCTGTTGAAGGAAATGAAGAGCGGTTTGGATACAGTTAGGATTAAAATCCAGGCTTTAACTGCGAAAGTATGGTTCTGTCCCTGAAATTTTGACCCATAGATTTTTGGTATATTGTGAGAATCTGTATAATTTTACGGCTGCAACTTTTGTGCGGTTATTAAATTATAGTGCTTCTTCTATTAGTGAAGTCTCTAGAAATAATATACCAAACGACCCAATGTACCTTGGGTCGCTACGGAAACAGTCTCCTTGTATAATTACAAGGGTAAGGTCTGCGTACAACTGACCCCCCACAACCCAACCCGTTTGGGAATATACTGGGTATGTTGTTGTTGTTGTTGATGAGAAACACTCAGATTTAGCTGCTGGAATTTTATCCCGTCATTCTCATCAGTTTTGTTGGTTTATCTTTTTTATAATTTTGTTGGTTCTTTTACTCTGACGTCTACATTTGATTGCTATAACTTGTTTAATTGCATCGTTAATATTGGATGACACACATAACATGTTATTGACTTTTCATTTCTTGGTGGTTCTGTTTTTTGCTATTACCATTCTTAATTTTAATGTGTTGTAGATTAAATTTACCCAATTATGTACATATTACCACATTTTCTCATTGTATGACTGTAAAAATAGAGTGCCAAGGTGTGATGGATTGTGCCCTTTTTAAGTTTTAGTGTGAATTTTGTGTACAGGTGAAAGCTGATAATTTCCCTACATCAGATGGGATAAGCTATCTTGAAGCCAAACACTTGCTGCTTCTGAATTATTGCCAGTCACTTGTCTATCTTCTGCTACGCAAGGCAAAAGGATTATCAATTCAGCAGCATCCAGTTGTTAAGAGTCTTGTTGAGACAAGATTATTCTTAGAGAAGGTATATTCTTATGTTATTTACCTTGTCATTTTTGTGTGGAACATAGAGGAGAATAAAAACTAAGTAATGTAGCAATTTCGTTGCGGTTGGACATTATTTCATTTAGTCCTCATTTGCTCTAGAGAATAATGAAATGACGAATTTTAAATGTGAATGGATATAACATGACAATGTGATTATTAAAGTTAATATGATTAAAAAAATAATAAGATAATAATACGGCACTTATAAGTTATAAATCTAGGTTAATGTTGAATTTGAAGGGATTGAGTAGTAATTATCGGGAAGAATTTGTCGATGGGATTGATGGGAGGAAAAGTAAAGATGGGTGGATAGTTTGAGGTATTGGTATCCGATGAAAGTTTAACGTGACAATTCTCTTATAGAATGAAAATGAAAAACAATATATATATATAACTGCAGCCTATGCTATCTGGACTCGGATATGGATGGCGTATCGGGTGTGGAGATATGAGCATCCGACTCGTCAATAGTTTAGAAATCTTGAACATTTTATGTTAAAATGCCACAGTCGACACTCATACCCACACCAGTGTCGACACAACATGACACGGGTATTCTTCCTAAATAGAAGAGTCCGGGTAACATAGACTGCAGCCTGACATGTTGTGTGAATCCACCTCTTTCACATGGATAACAACGTATACTCTTCCAACTTTGAAGAAGGCACATAATTGAATTTCTGCTTTGTATAATTTTCCATTTTTAACATCTTGGAATTTGTTCAGATTCGTCCTATTGATCGGAAACTCCAATATCAAATTCAAAAGCTGACAAGATCCACGATGACAGTTGAGAAACCAGGCTTGAATGAGAAGGTAGCAGATGAAACTCCGAATGCTGAGGACACGTTAAGACTTCGCCCGAATCCTGACTTGCTTGTTAGCAAAACAAATACAGTGGTAATCACAGTCTGCAAGAATTAGTTACTTTACACTTTTTAATATCATGATCATTATTTATATATATATATACTACCATTCATTTCATTTCTGTTCACGTGCAAGAAATTATCATGTAATTACTTTGCAGAAAGGTGATAGTGTATATCAACCCCCGAAATTCGCACCGTCTTCTATGGATGAAGATAAGATTTCGAGACAGGAGAAAAATGCTAGGAGAAGAGAGGAAGAAATTATACGACAATCAAGTAAGAGTGCTTATGTTCGGGAGCTAATGAATGATCTTGAGGGAAGACCTGAAGAGGTGGTAAACATTTTTTAGGGATAGTGTACCATCGTTATATGTTGATCTATTGATGAGCAATAAAAATTGCAGGTCAGAGAAAATCTAGGATCTGACAGTAGAGAAGTTATGAATGCTATTGCAAAGATGGAGGATCGTGCACGTCGAGAAGAGGAACTTTTCACCCGAGCTCCACTCACTAAAGTTGAGAGAAAGAAGATTAAACATTTAAAGAAATCTAGAAATGGGTAAGTCCCAAGAAGATTTCTTTATTAATTATTTTTTATTTTTATTATTATTGGTGTTATTTACCGATTCAAGTGGTGGCTTTCTTTCTTTTTTGTTGTGCCAGGTTGCTTGGTCTGACTGAAAGTTTATATGACGAGATTAAGACTTTACCGTTGGAGGGTGACATGGCAGAGCAACCTACAACCAGCTTTAGCAATGCAGATAGAAAATTTAAGAAGCGCAAGGTATATATACATATAAGCTGGCTGCAGTTCCTTAATCTTGTGCTTAATGAAAGTTTATTTCAATTAAAAACTAATGTTTTTACACAGCTGCCTTTGGAAATAGTTCACTGTTTGTTTTATTGTTTGTTTTTACACCAGTCTCTGTGGAATCGAACCAAATCTTAACTATGGACACTTTAAAACTGTTTTAAGAGTTTTTGATTGGTGTCGAATCCAACAATAATAAATTCCTGCTTTTAAAATAACTGTAGTAATGTAATGGTAAGCAGGGCCGTATCAACAGGGATTGGCTAGACAAAATATTGATGCAACTATTCGTGAAATAAATAAAAATAAAAATAATGGGAGGTTTGATGATTTTATCTAACTAATAAAATAAAATAAAATAAAATAAAAATCTAACTAGATACGAGAACAAAATTAGTGATTAGAAATAGAGTACATATCCAACCAAAGGAAAAACTCGTAGAAATGGTTCAACGGTTCGATCATGGATGCAAATATAATTCTCCTATTCTTGATTAAATTGGTTATGGTTATTAGTAAGACGTAATAACCTATCATTCCTTACTTGTTCGATAATTAGGATACGGTCTCTAATTATTCCTCTAATCAACAAACAACCTTAGATACGATCATAAGATTTAATCTATCAACATCAATAGTTGATAAATAAGATCTAGAAGGACCACCAATTCTAGCCAACAAACACACATGTAGGATTATTTAGAACGATCAAACATTTACGGATTTAACCGTCCTAAATAATGATATGTGTTTCAACAATAGATCGCCAGTTTGTATCAACAAATCAAAACACAATTGGTAATAATCACAAGAGGTATATAAATAACAGAGAATAGAGAATAGAAATTCAATTAGATTTCACAAATCATGAAGAACCAAATCTAGAATAATCATTTGGCTGGAAAAATAGATTAATTTTTCATAAACATGGAAGAAGTTTGGGTCGCTACGGAAACAACCTTCTTATATAATTACAAGGGTAAGGTCTGCGTACAACTGACTCCCCAGACCCCAACCCGTTTGAGAATATACTGAGTATGTTATTGTATTGTGTGTATAAACATGGGAGAAGTCTACCAATTATTCATGAAAAATAAAAGAAAAGAAGAAAAGAGAAGAAGGTTGTGCGTCGGAGAGAAGTAGAGAAAAAAAGAAAAGAAAAGAAAAGAAAATATAGATATATAATCTAGCAGTCTGGTTTTTAATCAAACTAGTCTAATTCTAATTCTAGAAGAAAATTCTAGCAGAAAATACGTAGAAAATAATAAAGAGTTCATTCTGTCTCCAAAATATCTTAATAAAATATAATAGTCCATAAATAAAGACTCTTAAAAGGTTTTATTATTCTCTTTCCAACTTGAGACTCTTTCCTTCTTCCAATATTTGTAGAAAATTAGCGTGCCCACGTCCTAGTTCAAATTCGTCTATTTCGCTTTCCAATGATCATAAAATTCCAAATTCCACAAAAATTATAAAAATCAACTAAAATCAATAAATAAGCTCATACAAACACCGAAAAAGTATGGAAAACATGACAATTAACATGTCAATAATACGACTTATCAGTTTTTCCTTGATTTTTGTCATAGTTGTGTGAATTAATGTTAGACCGTGCAAGTTTTTGATTACTCTACTTACTGATATGTGGGTATCGACAGCGAAAACACTAAATGGGAGGCAAATCCAGGATTCAAAGGATGCTCCAAACAACAATGATCACTTGTGAGCCGTTGGAGTTTTCAGTAGTTTCTTTCTTTCTTTTTT